GTAGGAGCAGGGGCAGCTGGGCAGGTCCGTCAGCACCTTGCTCAGGTACTTGGTGAGGAAGTCGCTCTTGCAGTTCAGCCACTTCTCACAGCTGTCCACCTCTGGGGGGGAGGGCACCGAAAGGGTGAGGGCACGCGCAGCCCGCACCCCGCTTTACCCAGCTGCCACTTGCCCGTGGCCTCGCCAGCACCACAACCACCAGGCAGGAGCAGCCAGGCTCCTGGGACGAGCTGGAGCCAGGCTCCATGCCCAAGGCAGTGACAGAGGGAAAGGGTTTCGTGCTGGGGCAGAGCTGCCCCTTGCAGGGGCTCTGCCCCGGGCACCCATCGCTACAGGGGCCAGGCTGGCAGCATCCCCCCATGGGAGAGGGCACGCGGCAGGCTGGCCTCAGCCACTGCACCGTAAAGCAGGACCGTGTTGTACCAGGGCTGTGAGAGGAACTGGGTTTCCCAGCATGACTGCCAAAGCCTGCACGTGGCAGTGGTTTGGGTGACTTAGGTCTGGACACCAGATGCGGGAGCCCTTGGCAGAGCCCTCCCCACCAGCCAGCTACACCCCCTGTGGGGCCTGGCACCGAAGCCCCCAGCGCAAGACAAGGCAGAGCAGAGGCTGACCTGAGTTGAACAGCTCTGTGGTGTTGTCGCTTTTGAAAGGCGTCTCCTCTGTGGGGAAGACCATTTCCCCCTCTGCTCCTTGAGAGGGAAAAAAAACCCCAAAGAGCCAGGTTGAACACCAGGAGGAGAGGTGGGTTTTTTTCCTCCGTAAGGGCACCAGACACCATCCATTTTCCACACCGTCTCCTGCCACTGCTTTGGCGACACGGCCCTGTGCTTGGAAGAAAGGGCCAGCAGCAAGACACGCAGGACAGACCCGCCCAAGGCTCTGGGTTATGCAAATCCCAGTGCATGGAGCCAGCTCTCAAAATGCCTCAGGAGAGGATTTCAAGCTCCCAGTGTGAGAGAGGTTCAAGGACTTGCACACCAAGCTGGACGCCAGCTCTACCACCCTTGGGCACCACGTAACTGCCTGGGGAGCCATGAAGCCCCATCAGAGCTTTTTCGTGGAAACAAACCCCCGTGGTCATTAGCCCGGATCACATTAAACATAACTAGTTCTTGAAGCATGAGCAATGCCCAGCCCGCAGCGGTGGGGGACCAGCCCACATTGGGGTCGGACAGTGCCCAAGCACTGGCATGGCCGAGAGCTCACCAGGGCAGCGCGGCAGGTCGCAGGTCCTTGACTCTGTCGCTGTGCAGGCATAGCCACAGGACCGGGTCCTCTTCTGGTTGCCACTGCCACAAGTGGTGCTGCAAGGCGACCACGGGCTCCACTCCTCCTCATCTTCATAGTCTGTGCACGGCAGGGGAAAGGCAGAGAGTGGTGGACCTCAGCAAAGCCTCAGCAGGAGGGGAGCTAGCAGCTACCCGGGACCTCCCTCAGCTCTGCCCTGTCCCTGGCATGTCCTTTACAGGGACGCAGGGCCAGCGCTGCCTGGGGTACGTGGAGGTGCCCGGCCACGTGATGCCAAGGGCCAACCCTGTCCTCGCTGGCAACCCCAGGGAAGCAGTCCCTGAGCAAAGGCTCTCGTTCTCACAGTTTTGCTCATGGTTGTACTAACCCGACAGGCATTGCTGCCCATCCCCATCCTCACCGAAACTGCCCGATGCACTGGCCATGATGCTGAAGCAAAAGCTGTTAGCAAAGGTTGACTGGTTTTGGGCTTGTGGCCAGGAAGCTGCAGGAGGGAGCTGCTGTGCTGCCCTGGCCTGTCTGCCCACCGGCACCTGCCCTCTAGCCCTCTGCAGCTCCTCTCCTGGGGCGTGCCCAGGTCTGTGGCAAAGGCTTCTGGCACTGGTGTCACCGCAGGGACCTGAGTCAATGGCAGCAGCACTTGCCATTAAACATTTACACTGTATTCCGCATCTGAGTATGCCTTTGCTAGAGTCCACGCTCCAGACTGATTACATGCAAGGGCAATTCCCGCTGGGATGCTGGCGTGTCTGACCGCTGGCAGCCCCAGCTGGGTGCTGGCCTTGCTCCTCAGCGTGCTTGCTTATTTTTTAAGTAGGAGCTGAGCACCAGCGTGCTGTGATCCCCGGTGCAGGGCTACTCCCCCTGCAGCGAGCCAGGGGTGCGGGTCAGGCAGGGCAGGGGAGGGCAGTGCCACTCTTCAGGGCAGCTGCGCACACCCAAGAGGACTCACCGTAATTATATTTTTCCTTAAAGATCCAGTTCTTCTGCCCAGGCCACCGCTGGTCCCAGTCACCTCCCACTCCACTGAGTATGGACTCCTCCTCCTCATACTCTGCTGTGTAATCTTCCTCCTCCTCATCCTCTTCCTCCTCCCTGTCCCCTACATCCAGGTTGTCATCTTCTTCCTCCTCTTCCTCCTCCTCCTCCTCCTCCTCAGCAGGATCGGTGTATTCCCAGAAGAGGGGCCAGAAGAGGTCCTTGTGGGACAACCACTCAGAGGATGTCAGGGACCAGTCATTGCTTGTCTCCTTCAACAAGTCCATCTCCATCTCAGCCTGAGGATCATCCACCACTTCGATGGTCACCTGGAGGCCAGATATGAGGTAGGGCAGTGAGCCGGGGCACAGCCCTGGGACAGAGCTACCATGCACTTATTCCCAGCCCAAGAGGCCACAGACGCTTTGGGCTACAGGACCACGTGATGAGTGCAAGAGGTCTCGCCTCGTCTGGAGAGACTGAGCAGGGGCAGAGCGGGAGGCGCAGGGGGGCTGGTGGTCACCCACAGGAACCAACACAACCCTCAGAAATTGAGAGGTCACCCCCATGGGAGCATTTGCTCCTGCTCTACAGAGAGGGGCTGTGGGGGGACAGGGAAAAGGCCATGAGCAAATTTCTCTGGCAAGGAGCTTGTCTGTGCCAGCTATTTGCATCTGGTAGTTACCAAGAAGACAGATGGCAGCGGCCACATGGACCCTGCTCATGAGATCCTTCCTCTTAGGGAACCAAATGAGGCTGGGGAGCACATACAGTGCTCTCC